AGATTGTTGGAGGATTGGTGGGACATGGCAGCCTTGGAAAAGAATTAGCTCAGGATATTTAATTCTTTTTGAAGGGACCCAAGTAGCAATAAAGTACAACATTGGGTAGGGGGCACATAAAAAGACTTAAATCCTGAGTTGATTCTTCTACAACAGGGATGGTACCAAGAATTAACTTGGGAGTTAATACTTCTCAGGGGGTGGCTGATAGGTACCAAAAGATAAAGAATTAACCCAGGAGTTGAGAATATTCAACTCGGGTATTCACTCCTTTTCGTTTTTCTTCGAGAAATGGCGCGCAGAACGGCATTTCTTCGTCGCGTGGACGAACGCATCACCGAATCCGATCGAACATAGACCTCAGCCAACTTGTTCCACTGGAACATCCAACCCTTGGATGTGGAACAGGATTTGAACATCCAACTCTTCAAATCCACTGATCGATCGTGGCGGATGCGCATCCAACCCTTCAAAATCGATGGAAATCGACAGACCAGACCTAAACCCCAGGACCTGCGAGAATGGAGTGGACTGCAGTGGGGGAGACTTCTGTGCAGTGTTTTTGTAGTTGGTGATTCTGGATTTGAAGCAGAAACTAACCCCTGCAGTGAAATCGTGGCAGACAACATTTTGCAACTTGAACACCTCACCCCTAGCAATAAGGCTTGCTTGCTCCAGGGGCAGTCTTCTGGAGGGGCAGGTGGAAATTCCTTCCCTCCAGACAACACGACATGTGCTTCCAACTAGGATGGACTCAGTCGTTTCTTGCTCAGTTTCGACCTGCACCTGCACAATTAGTGACTTGAGGGGATGCCGTCCTCCAATACCAGAAGCAGCCGTGGACTATCTTCAAGAGTGGCCTGAACACTGCATTAACGAAATTTCAAACGTTTCAAGGGGCCTTTGGCCCTCCTGGTATGTGACCAGCTAGTAAAATCAAGGATGTATGAAGAGTTTTGAGCCTCCTAATCTTCATGTTCACACACTGACATACTGGAACATATGCTGATTTTATTGATTTGATGTGCATTCTGTCTGAACATGCAGCTTATCCAAATGTGGGTTCTTTACCTCTTTCACTAGAGCTTTCAGTAGAGCTAAGCTCCAAGATATTTCTCACCATGGTGGCAATGCATGGCGAAGCCGCGATGAAAGTACATCTCGGTGCGGTGCCCAAGAGCAGCTCGGTGTGGAGGGAGGGTTTTCCCAAGACTGATCGCCAGTTCCCTGCACCTCTCTGAATGACTTCGAACATCGGGCAGGCTGGGACAAGGAGCTTGATGCTGAGGCAATATTGTTGATTTTATTCAAACATAGTTGCGTCGATCTTTGTTTTTGGTTTCTAAAGACATGTTGTATCCAAACCCAGAAGACCTTTTTCTTCCAACCCCCATGGACCAACAGTTCCGGGAGGTAGCACCGGACCTCCGGGAGGTCGGACCTGTTGGGGAAGTCACGAGGCCTTGAACAATGCCCTCGCAAGGGCTGAACTTGCTGAAATGATACACTCCAGTCGAGTTCTTTTTGGAGGGTTCTTTAATCTCCAGTCAAAAAGATGCGGCTGTCCTCCATGGGTTCTCGCGGATTCGGCACCTGGGCATGCTCGTTTCACTTCACTGCGCGTGGCTCGCGAAACGCGCGCGGCGTGGAACGGACGAGCCCGGTCGACCATGGCTCAAACATCGGTCGAGGGATTCCATCGTCAGTCCGAGAGCACAGAACCATCACCGCCCGCTGTGCGGAAGCTCAATGGCCAAGTACGCACAGAACACCACCTGCTGCTTGGATTGGTGCCGTGCGAAGCAGGGAACCTGTGCAACGAATGGTTCAAACTTGGTTGGATGGTACACGTTATCAAAAGAATATGCTCAGGTGTTGGGGAGTGGATTTGGAACTGGATTGAACAGGCCCTTCTTGACGTTCAATTCGTGCAAACATGTCTAATGACCAGACATCATGTTGGACTCTGGGTCCTGTTCCTTCCGATATCATTGTAGAGATAATTAATCCTCCTGCCTGTATCCTCTACAGAATGCCACGGGTTGGGCATTGATATAAGGCATATTTTAATAGAGAAACCTCACAGGGGGATGATAATTATGGATTATTGCTGTGGGCTGATTGAGTCAACCTGAAGCTGAAACCCTTGAAGATGATATCCTCTAGGAGCCAGCGGCTTTGAGGTTGCAAGTTGGTTTGCGATGTTAGGATGGTGATTGAACATGAGCTGTCTACCACAAAACTAAATCAAAACAGGAGAGGAGAAGGTACCAGGGATTGGTGGTGCCAACAGGGTGCTTCGATGTATTTGTCAGATTCTCTTTCCTGTCTCAAGGTGCTCACTTTCCTTGCTCAGAGCTCTTGGAACGTTCAGAGACTACCAGGTTACAAAAGGAAGCGGGAACAGCCAGGGCACAGGATTCAACCTAGGTCTTCAAAGGGTCCATGTGCCCCCCCGAAAACCGAGGCTTCTCCTTGCCCCTTTTGGACCAGCAACCAATGAACCAAAGACCGGTGACGAAGCTGAAAGCTACTCCTTTGAAGAAGTTTGGTGTATTGTTCAGCAAAAGGGCCATCATCACAACATCACCAAAGGCATACAGAAGGAGAAAGCCTTCGTGGTGCTTTCGTCCATGAGGATCCTGGAAGTTTAAAAGATCTGGTTCCTGCCGCAAATCTGCCACGGAAGGGCGCGGAAAGCTGGAAAGCGATGATTTGGCACGAGAAGGGTTCGGTTCAACTGCCTGGGTTTCTTTGGTTCGGTGCGATGGGATGGTGTCTTTAGGTGGGAAATCCGACATCCTCACTGTGCAAGGCGGACACACCTGCCCTTGGGGCACTGGCGATGAGTCTTGGAAAGCGATGAGTCTTGTGGTGCGCTGAAAGACAAGCACTGGATATGATACATTTACACGTTGGAGGCCATCGCCATTAGGTTGGAGGCCATCGCTATTAGATACATTTACATGCATTGGCATTGGCATCCCTTTGACCACAACTTTGCATGTTGTGAGCTACCCTGAGAGAAAGCACCCAGCCAGCCCGGCCCGGCCCCTTGAATCTTCGCTCTAGTGTTGTTTTTCTTTTTTTTCCCTCGGGCATCATGAAGGACGTTCTGGTATAGATTGGATCTCATGAACAGGAAGTTTTGTGAAGACCTGACGAGCGCCGACCAGCGCCGACAAGCTCGCCCCCAGCCCGGGTGGAGGCTTTTCAGGTCTACGAAGGGTTGGACATCGGCTCGATTCATCACTCTCCGTGTGTAACTGGGTCTTGAGTGGTTCTCAAGAAACTCAAATCAGCATCAAATCAGCTTTCTTCATCCCTTGCTGCCCACTAATCGTAGAGGGTCTAGACGCTGGTGAAACATGTAGAATAATGTGCCCCAAATCGGACATAAGAAGGCCATTGTCACATGGTCTATATGGTCATAAGAAGGCCATTGTCACATGGCCAACATGAAGGCAACAAGAGAACAAGACCATGGAGCTAAGATCAGCGCGTAGCCTTCGACCACGAGAAATGGCCATGGTTGAGTCCCAGCTGTGAATTTTGAGTGTTGTGCAGTGGCTAGAAGTGAGCTGAATACTTTTCAAGACAGAGTACCAGAGAACAAAGCTCAGAGGCAAACCTCTCTTCTTTGGGGTTTGAGGGAGGGACATTGGGTGGGCTCACTCCGACTCCCATCCGACTCCCATCACCCCAAGTCCAAGTCTCAAGGCGACCTCGATGGTCCCTAATTAGTAGCGTCCGATCGCTCGGGTTCGCAGCCGTTCCGCTCGGTTCGCGATGCCCTTTGGTATCCCTTTGAAGGCCAGGAGCTCCGTTTGTAGCTTCTGGCTCCCGCGGCAAGGACAACTTGCCTCCTGACAGCTTCACTCAAGCAGCTCAGAAGGCGGCGGCCAAGCGTCGTGAGGTTCAGGAGCCGGCACTTCTCGGCGGTAAACAAACGCGCCGAGGATCCCTTCGGTGACCGGCGGAACCTTCATGTTTTCATATTTTGTCATATAGCGAAGGTGAGTTGAGATAGAACTCCATGTTGAAGATGGAGGTGAATTCGGTGCACTAATTGGATCTAATTCGTTGATGGATCTAACCTGCTCGAGAAATCTGCGCAGACTCTCAGCTGTTGGAGTAGAGAGTCATGTTTTCCAGAACCGGGTTCAGAAGGGACGAGACCTGGCGTGGGGACGTTCTGCCCTGGTCTCTTCACGTCTTCCTTGCTCTTTCGGGACGCCTTGGGGAACACAACTCATGTCCCTGGATTCTTTTGAATGGACATGATTTCCACTTTGCTGAATCAGCGCAGGAGAAGGACATCAGGGAAGTCGAGGCCAGTCCAAAGCCATCGGGGAGGGACACCGGCAGGGCTTTGGAAGAGAAGAAGGTTCGTGTGACCTGGAAGCAGTGGCCGTGCTGGACTTGGATGGGAGGACAAAGCTGGGTTGGAGGCAAGGATAGGCTGGGTGTGAGTATTTCACTGAAATTATGAGTAACAAGAAGCTGCTAGTAACAAGTGCATCGCTATAGTAGCTTCTTGTTCACTTGTTTGAATAAGTGATGGATCTGGATCCATCTCACAAAACTGTGTGTGAACATAGCTGGTGGGAGCCGGAAGGAGCGGAGCTGGAGGTCTCCATCTTCTCCTTTCACCCTCCGGAGCCGTCTTTCGTGACCCACCGACTTGTTGGGGGGATAGCGGCCGCGAAGCTGCGAAGCAGACCAGGTGAGAAGCTACAGATGTAGCTCCCGGACTCGTTGAGCGATCGATGGACGATAAAAGCAGATCCCCAATTCCTCAAACTCATGAGATGACCAGTTGTTCCTCCAAACACAGGGACCAGTTGATCTGACCCCGAAGAGGGTCGACGATGGAGGTCACCAAAAGCCACCGAATAGCTTGCGAGGTGGAGCCCGAGGATGGAGCTTGGAGCCCCTCCCAGCTGAGGTGGGTGGAATCGAACTGGGACACAACAGAATCCAAAGGGAGATGGAGAAAAGAAAAAGAAAGACTGCTTTCATGGAAAAAGAATGGTGAAAAGATGTGAAAAGCAGATATCAGACATCGACACATAGGTGGAAAACTGGACATCGACGGGTGTGAGTGTCGCCCGGTTCCCTCTCTTGTTTTTCTCGGTAGACGGGGAGACAATTTTTGGTCCTCGCATATCCGAGACAGAGACAGAAAGTTGGACAAAACAGCTGGCCAGTTGAACATCTGAGATGAGAAGGCTCGGTTAAAGTGATGATTGAATGGAGACACATTTCTGGGAATCTGTGATCTTGCCTCATGGCCGAGGGTTGCATCAGGGGGGAGACTCAATGAGTGTTTGATCCAGCTGCCTCGGATGGGCCAAATGTCCGATCATCATGTGGCCCCGAAATGGTGAAGGCCCATTAAGGCCCTGGGTTGATGTTACGATTCAGTCCTGGAAACCCGAGAAAAACCAGAACTAAAGGATCGTTCTCCAAACAGCCACTGTATACTATATAATGTGTGAAAGATGGTATTCTTTTCCACACCGTTTCCCCGAAACACCGAAATCCCTTTCGGATGGTCCAGGCCGACCAACACGCTCGCTTCCGCTCACCCTCCAGGCCGACCAGCGCCCGCTCCGCCGCCGCGCGCTCCAACGCGCACCCCAGTGCGCGCAGCACCGCCTCGCAAAAGGCCAAGAAGGTGGAAACCGAGACGTGGCGACCGAGAGTGCTGTTTTTGGTTGGGGGGAACCTGTCTGTCTGAGTAGTAGGCACCAAGAGCTGGAGGTCCGTTTTTTGCTGCTGTTTCGGAGAGTGAAAAATGGGGAGCTTGTTCTGATCGATCGCAGCCCTCCTGGATCGCCCCGTCTTCTGAACCATCGGGTTCGATCCGTCCGACTCAGTATCCGGCACATTCACCAACGAGTAGACTCTACCAACACCAGTCGAAGAAGAAGAAGAAGAAGAAGAAGAAGAAGACGAAGAAGAAGAAGAAGAAGAAGAAGAAGAAGAAGAAGAGCAAGAGCAGCAGAGTGCCTACATTGACAGCGCCCCAAAAAGCAACACCAGAGTCAGCAAACTTGCCAGGCTCACAAGTTGGGGAGCTCGAAGGTTCGTCTCAAAGATCCCATCTTCACTGCCCACCGGGACAAATAGACCTAGTATAGGACAGGTCTAAGTTCCATCAATTGTCAATCAGTACCACCAGGACCATGGTCCGAACTTCTGGAGGAACTTTTTGAGAGAACTTCACCATCAACAAGCTGTAACAGGGAAAACATGTTTCAATCTGCCCAAGTGTCGTGTCTTAATCGGGCCCGGTGATTCGTGGTCGGGGCTCCAGGTAGGTCATCCAATGGGATCCGCACGTTGTTTCTCTCAGGAGATGGAAAGCAAGGTCATGGACCTTATCAACCAATGCCTCGACAAGAAAGTGCTGGCCGCCTGGCAAGCCATTTCGAACCGAGCAGGATCTGGTTCGCTCCGAAGATGAAGGACTCCCAACCACCAGTGCCACTTAAGGCGGGTGATCATTTATTGTGACTGTCATTAGGGAGTCTAGGGAGGCTGTCCGCGAAATCCTCAGCATGGTCAGATGAAAAAAGACACCGAAGTCACTGGAGTCCAATTCAGACCGCGAAAACCATCAGGGTTCATCTCTGCTCATCTCCAGTGCAGGAATACACCCTCCTGGCCCTCCTGGCACGTATTTTTCGGAATGGGGGGAGGGCTGTATCTACTTGATAGCCATGGTCAATATAGTCAAATACTTGTTCGTCCATTTCTCCTCCAAATTGGTTTTTGTTCCTTTTCTCTGAACTGTGGTCCCAAACTAAAAACCTAAGGGTCTAGCCATGAGCTTGAGACTCTCTCTCTCTCTCTCGCTGTTTGAGTTCACCTGCTCTCCGTTTTTTTCGTTTCCGTCCCAAGGAATTGCGGCAGTTGACCACGACTTCCCCGCCGAACGACGGTGTCCCGGACGCAAAAGCCGGAAGTGCGGGCCGCGGCGATGAAAGCATCCGCCACGAAGCGGATAGAAATCGAAACACCCGTGTTTGACATCCGCCACCCAGACGAAGCGTCTATTCAGATGCAGTGTGTTTTCAGAATCCGTGTTTGTCATCGGGTTTGCTCAGGCTAGCTGCTAGGACTTCCTTCGACTGACGCCATGTTCACCGCATGTTTGAAGTCCATGTGGAAGCCATCCCTTGTCAAACGCTTCAAACAGGTAGCCCCCTCGGCAAGTGTTCTGTGAAAGTCAGCGTTGGAGTCATCAGAGATTTCCGGCGGGTCACAGGTGGTTGGAACAGGGGCAGCTATGTGGAGTTTTCTATGAAAGATGACAGTGGCTCAACCTTCATTTTGACTACATCATTCTGTTGAAAAGGCAGGGTGAGCCTCAACTTCACTAAAAATGCATGGATCAATAGATTCAAGGTCATGATGCATGATACTATACCGCAATCATTGTGCTCAATTATCAGTAGCCGAGTGAACGCTCATGATGCGACCTGCACATTGAGGTACTGAGGCAGACGTAGATGTATGCTTTGAATGTGTTTTTTTGGCCAAACAAGAAGTCATCCAAAATTAAGTGATCCAATTGGTTCACTTCTTTGAAGATCCCATTTATATATATATATAAATATGTATGCACACACATTTTTTTATTGGTTGATATTTCTCTGTGGGATATCCTCCCGCTGTTTCATCTGTTGCAGGAGCTCCCAGGAAGAAACATTGCGAAAAGAACTGTTCGCCTTTGAGGATGACGACCATTCCTCCATTCCTTTCGCAGGGCGGTCAGGGTCAAGCAGGGCCCGGCCCATGGGCTTCCCCCTGGGTCCGAGGCCACCCGGTCGCCGGTGTCCCTCGGTTCCCCGTCAGATCCTAAGAGGTTCCTGTCAAGAACGGCGCCGGAAGGAAGGATCGGATGTTTCGGTCCTGATGGATGGGATGTTACAGGCATTCGACCGACCTGGGTGGTTCGAAACGAACGCACACGTGCCTGGCACGTGTCAGCTCAGCGGTGTCTGCTCAGCTGGCCTCTCCAACGTAGAAGCAATGGCCTCCAGGTGTCCTGGTCTAGGTCCTCGATTTTCTGAGTAGACCATCCAGTCCATCCAGGTGCTATCTCAGCCCATCCAGGTGCTGCCAGCAGTGTTGTGAAGACCGCCCGATCCAGTGCCACTGGCTTCACCACTGAACGCTCTGTCAAGTCCTGTGGCACAGAGCAGTGACCTGGCGGAGCTGGTTCCGCTCCAGGGCGCTGGACATGGGTAGCTGGCTTCTATGACCAATCTACGACTGGTGTCGGAAAGACTGCATTGGTCTTGGAATCAAGCAATTAGGGACCCTTGTGGGTATAGGTTTACCTCGAATGTCCGGAGCCTTAAACAAGTGAAAAAGGAGGTGACTGACAAGCTCCCCAATATATATATATATACATATCTATGTATCTATGTGGTTCTATGTGTTTTTGAAAACCATTATCCTTCATCATGTAGAATGTGGATGAATTGACCTTCCCTGGTGTGAAGAACCATGCCAAGACCACTTGGGGGACCGGACATGAGCAGCTCAGGTCCGCCTTGCCAGGCTCGGAGAGCAGACGTCTGGATGGGGTGAGCAGACCTAAGACCTAAGGGGTCTGTTTTAGCTTTAAGAGAACTCCTAAGACCAAAGATCCAAAGCACGCAGACTCCTAAGAATCCAAAAGGTGACGAGGAGGTATTTCTTCGGATCTCTTGATCTCCGTTCTTCGGCCAGTCACCTGAAACCCGAAGAGGTGAGCTAAGCGACTGCCTCTTCAGTCAACTGCAGTAGTTGGAGGACTTGATAGATTGTTGAGGCGATTGGCCAGGTATTTCCACTGGGCCCACCTCTCTCAGCTGAATGCAGATTCTGAGGCTTCAGGAGCTTGATTGAAGCTTTCTTTCCAACCAACCCCTACAGAGCCTGCCAGTCTCCACATTTGCCGACGGACCACCGATGGTCCTCGGATCCAGAATTCGATTGATGAACTTCGATGGATCTACGGGTGGGCATGGGGCAGCCCAGACTGGTTCAGGTGTTATTCGGTCCAGCCAAATGGATCGACAGCAGCTCGCTCGACCCGCCAACCTGCCAACCAGCGCCCGACACAGCTCTTTCGTCGATTCGGCCCTCAGAAGCGGACGACGTGCACGTGACGATGGCCAACAAGCGAGCACAAATCAAGAAACTCTCAGATGCATGGCCTTGGAGCTTGGGTTGTGTTTTTTTCATCCTAGGACGTTAGACAGGAACCCTCAAGAAGGTGGAAGACTGGATCAAAAGAGAAGAGGACCATGATAGTATGTCATAGTCATGCTGCGTCGGGTGTGTTTCGTACTGTTTCTACCTGCCCTGGATGCACCGAACTGGCATCCTTCGTCTGGCATCGTGGCGACTCCAAAAAGGTTCCGTTGACCAAAGCAGTTTCATCCTGGTGATCGAACTGACATGCAGGAAGGCTTGTCATGAATCCCGATTCAACACTAGTTATATATAGACTACTTTTCACCTGCTCATGGTCATGAATGTCTGTCGTCTTTCTCTTTTTGTAGGATGGACAAGGGGCACGTCTACCGGAGCTGACATCCCAGTTCTCTCAAAACGTTTATCACTTGGCAGCGCCTCCTCAAAATCATCTGGCAGCATTCTCCGTGTTCCGGTTTTCGCATGGTGCCGGTCTCCATGGTGACCGGTCCGGGTGATCCTTTGTTCCATGCTTGTTACCGGTAACCTGGTTCGCCGGTTCGCCTTCGCGAAACCGCCCCCCGGTGAACCACGCCCCACTCAGCACACCACCCACCGAGTCACGTTCACCCTCCGACTCACCGCCACACGGGCAACCCGCTGCTGCTGTCACGTTCCGAGTGTGACAACATGAGAAGCGCCGTAGTTGAAGAATGGCACCGTATGGCACCGTATGGTACCCATAGTTCAAGTGGGATGAACCTGGGAAATGGGGTCAGGGCACGGGGTTCTTGCGAGAAAGAGCTTGTCAGATTCTATTGCGACCAAGTTCGCGGGGTTTACACTGTTTGGGGGAGTCAATTTGACCACCTGGTGATGTGAGGATGCCTCTTTGGGACAGTTCGACGCCGACCAGTCGCGAGAGGCCTACCTGGCCACTGGACTGAAAGATGGAGGTCGATTACAACACTGGGAAGAGTGTGTTCTCCAGCATGAACACCAACATAGATGACTGGCCGACGATAGGTAAAGGAAGTCATCTTCCACAGATTCTCTTCCTTGGCCTGGTAAAGGAAGTCATCTTATATACGTTGAAGTGTTGCACCTCCACACATCAAGGTCCCGTCGTGTTCCTCTATCAGGTCCTGTTAGTCTGCGAGAATCACTCAGTGCCATGATGGGACCCCCTGATCCAACGCTGAAACGAAGATCTCGGAAGCTCGGGAGCTTGGAGAGCTTGGGAGGAGAAGAGCTCGGTTGCATCGCGTTGCATCATTGCACTTGAACAAGGGTGCAAATCTCAAGGCTTTTGCCCGCCCACTCCTCAGTCATTGTATGAATTCAATGATATCGCACGGCCAAGGCCAATGCAGTGATATTAAAGCTGCCATAAGGCTGATATCTACATATTAATATATGCACACTGTATATCATGAATGGCCCGCCTCTGGAATCTATCGGTCCAGTGTTCAGGTCCCTTCACTTCCTTTGCCGAACCTTGGAGACCTCTGCAGAGCTGCAGAACTCAGGAGATGCAGAAGAGCGCGGCTGCCGCGCGGAACAAGAACCGCTCGGCGCTCACCTTCGACTATGCTCCGTCAGCGCGGAGTGCCAAGGCTGCGCCAAAGGTTGCCCCCAAGGCTGCGCCGAAGAAAGCGAAGGCAGCGGAGGAGAAGAAGGGCCACTGGGCTGCATGGACTTGGAAGAACTTGGAGGAGTAACTGGGGAATAAGACGAGTAGAGCCAATTAGATAAGGTGAAACAGGTGAGACTTGCTCTGATCAGATTTCAATTTCAATTGGTCACTAGTCCGTGTTGAACCGTTCGATTAGTGAAGCATGGCCTGAATTGGAAGACTTGGAAGATCAAACGATAAGCTTGAGTTCACTTGAAAACAAGGACACCACACATGACTTTTTTGTTGGGCCTGCAACCCACCATTTGTGGCCTTTTGTTTCTTCTTGGCTTTTGCTTCGTTTGATCCATATGAGTCTGAGTCTTTCCGAAGCGCGATTGAGGGGGGAGATTCGACCCAAATCTGGGAAAAGGACACGGTGAGGGCTTGGGGGTCACCTCACGTTCACAAAAGATCCAGATTTGGCTTGGGCTTGTCCTGCAGCTCGGATGGTCAGGGAGTGTCTTTGGTCAGGGGGTCACACACACACATTGAGGTTCAGTTCTTCTGGGTTTGTGCGCCCAGTCATTGAAACCATTGTTGGCAAGATGGTCGTCCCCATGGCGACTGACCTCTACGAGTGGAGAAGAAGCGCATGTTTCCTTTGCAAAAGACCAGGGAAAAGTGAAACTACTAAGGCCACGGTCTTAGTTGGTCTTTCACTTCTGTTATTTACAACCGTGAACCTTTGATCAATCAGGAGCAGTCTCCCTCATCCGCGCAGGAGTTGAGCATGCTCAAGCTAGGTACACCTGACGAAACCTGTAGCACAGAGGCATGGTTCATGAACTCTATCTTGATGTGGATTTGAGCCAAACAAGATGTTTTGTTTTCTTTTTCCGTCGTGCGGATTTGAACAACCTACGGCAAACGTTTTTTGCCACAAGCGGCGAGCTCAGTAAGAAAGTTTCTATATATCAGAAAAAAAGTATATCAGTTTCAGTGGTTTATTATCAGGTATTTACCAGATTGCAAGGGACTCCTTCTTCAGAGGCGTTCTCGGCGTTCGCATGAACAGCGAACCTATTTATTGTGATTTTTAAGACCACTTTGTTTTCCACCAAACAGGGCTGTTTCTGACTTCTTCTCATTTGCGGCCGAGTCCCGGCCCATTCGATGTTCCAAGGTCGCCCTCGGTTTGGGTTTCATCCGTTTTTTTTCAAGTCTTTTTATGATCTTTTGAATATTCAATTTGTTTGTTTACTATTTCATTTTTATATACTATCTTTTGCAATATGTTTATTTTGTGACAATCGAACACCATGGAACAAAAAAGGGGGGAACTGGTCCCAAGCCCACATGAGCCCACTGTCTCAGTTAAGGTCCTGGAATTGGCTGGACACCGGTTCTGGACACCCAAAAACGACAGAACTCGAACATGTTTGAGATCCATGACCGGGGTGTGCTCGTGAGCGATGATCATGAGCCCATTCTGATGCACCGAGAGGCTTAAGCTTTGCAGGACAAGTCATGACAATACCAATATGTGCTTTCTTGGAGTTCTTTTTTGGGCCAGTTCGGGGCCAAAAAGACACTTGCGGCAAAGCGCTGGCGCATGAACTGAATGCCCAGGCTATGAGGCGTTGGAGCGTTATCCAGCTTTGCTGAAGGAGATCCAGGATGAACGGCGACTGGTGGAGACTGACCAGTGGACTGGAACCGGTGGGGAGAGTCCGGTGCGAGAAAGACACAGTGACGGTGGGCAACGTGTTTATGGATTCAATGACTGGAGCTTCTCAGAATCTATACTGTCCTCAGGCGAACGGTAAAACCCTTAATCCTTTTGGTTTAGAGGCAATTTCTTCAACTAAAGGAAAAGTCCATAGCTAAGGACAGCCCAGCTATAGGGAGACACCCCACATGATGCATCAACAAACTCAACTCATTGGTGCGGAGGTCAAAATACAAACGGATCTTAGGTGGGAGGCCATCGCTAGTAGGTTGGAAGCCACTGCTATTGTTGGAGGCCATCGCTCTTAGGATACAAACCGATCCAGCGCCATCCCAGAGATCCTGGACCTCTGGGCGAAAAGGAACTCCGGTTCTACCCGAACCAGACGGGGGGAGGGACCTCGCCCGGATTTGGAGCTGAGCTCGGTGTTTGTTGAGGCGAAGGCAAAGGTGTTCTGGAACCTGGCTGAAAAAACACCAGACTGCAGAAAGTTCAAGCATCGTCAAGTATGGCACACCAACAGGGTTGGTGACCAGCGAAGAGGGAGTTCTGCTCAATGTTTTCTCGTTTTTAGTGTCCCTCTTTTGTGTGGGCTTCGATGCCGTTTGATGCCTTGCGGGTTTTGGTCGATCGAATCGCTTCGGGCACTGACCAGCGGCCAGGACCTGTCGGCTTCCAAACATGATGCCCCCCAAGGACTCACCAGCACCTCGAAGCATCCGTAACGAACAAAAGATCGAGGTGCGCCTGCTTTCAAAAAGAGCTTTCAATGAGGGCCTTTTTTGGCCCTGAAGAATAGAAGAGCTGCCTATAGGAATGGATTGAACATGTTGGAACTGATAGAATTGGATGCTGTTCTCCCAGTTTCCAAGTTCTTTTTCTTTTCTTTAATCCTTTTTCTTAACTTTGTTTGATCCTTTTGTTTAAGGGTTGGTAAGTTTTAGTGATTGTGGAAGGTATACAACAAGAACACATAGAATTCTTGCAAAGGATCACTCACAGACTAGAAGTGACTCTACACGTGGTGATTGCACCAGAATCGATCCAATATTGCAACAAGTCTCGGGCAGAGCAACTGATTGGTCAACCGATTTCAGCACAGCAGATTGATCAAAACCACTTTGTGACAATGTAAACGCGTTTGAGGTCCCAACTTGTTGATTCGGCCGGTTGAGACCAACTCATTGGGCATGAAGAAAAGCACACTCCCCATATCTCTACCTCTACATGAGTAATGAAATGGTAAGGACGCTACTTCTTTTCTTACATTTGTGACTCAATCCAGGTACCAGTTTTGGTGGTACACTTTCAGCTTTTCAGACAAAGTTCTGAGCGAGTATGGCATCCCGACACCCATCTCTTACTCCAAAAGTCCGGCCCGGTTTATGTTTTTTTTCCCCACATGTTTGAAGGATTTTCAGAAGCCGTATTCTGGGGAACACTGGAAAACATTCTTGAAGGAATCCTTCTTTTGGACCATTCCCTGCGAATCGAAACATGCAATCGGACGTTCTTCTAAGTGGAACATCCTGGACAGTCGGCATCCTCGTGTCCTAGGGCGAAGAAAAATAATTAACATCCTCTGAGACGGAAGTAAGATCATGTTCTTCGGTAGATGCTGAAGCGGCCCGTGAAGTTGCAGCAGTTCCAGAGGTCCAGTCCACCGTTTTGAAGACTCTTACGTTTGTGCTTGACCAGGGTTTGGCCAGAAAGACTCCAAGCCGTAAGACATGAGCACCCCGCAAGAAGATGTGTATGCCCATTGGATGTGTGTCCATGACATTGGATTGGACAGAACCCACCGCTGTGGCTGGTAGAAGCGGATGGCCTGGGTTCAAATGTTAGCATCCTCCTGAAGCTCAGAAGTGACCACGGTTGCGAACTGCACATGCTGGTCCACAAAGCCGATCTTCGACTGAGATTGCTAAGTTGCCGCTCTGAGATACTTGTCCGTTCCAGGAGGTCGAGGAAGTTCAGGAATTTAATTTCCTGTGTCTGTGGCTGAGATGGATTCTGAGAGATCGCTAGGGCCACATCTGCGGAAATAGAAGCGTTCAGCGTCGCAGCGTGAAAGATACATGGATGGCCTGGCAAGTCGCACTTTTGGGGGGAAGTGGCAGCGCGTGGTGACTTGAGCGGACCGTCCGACAACGACGTGCCAGTTTAGCCTCTACTCCTGAACTCAATGCCCAAACTCACTCAAGGCGCCACTAATGAGGAAGAATCGCTCACTCCAAGGCTTGCGTCGACAAGTCAAAGGCTTGATATTTTCTGAGGCCTTCCAGGACGACTTGACAGGTATCTCACCTGTAGGGGGCTTGCAGATCGAGATACCGGTAGGTGTGGTCTCAGTCTGAGATAGAAGTGCCCATGCAAAATCAGATTGATGAACTTGTGAGCTTGAAAAAACGCCAAGCAGGGAATGCCGGTTCAGACTGGCATGCGAAAGTGCAGGGCATCTTCCTATTGTGTTGAAGGCAATCAAAAGTGTCAGCAATCTATAGCAATCTAATTATTTCACCCATGTGCTTGTGACACAAGAAGAAGATGGTTCGCGCATCTACATTAAGAAACCTTGGCCTAGAAAACACATTGCTACAGGTTCCTTTTAGTTCTATGATTGTGCAAAAACCTTGTGATCCAAGGCAATGGCAAGCAAAAACAGGCCATGAAACTCTCTGATGCTTCCTTGGGCAAGTTTGACAACAACGAGTCCCGACTGGCATTCCTTGAGACTTGGCAGTAGTTACCACTAGCTTTGGTTATTGCACAGATGCCGGCACGTTTCCTTCAACTTGGATCAACTCGTTACAGTGCACGAGATGGTGTGCAAAGGTTGCACATGAATTTGGGGTCCTGCAATCACCTTGCTGACTATATGAGTTGACATTTGTTTTTCCAAGGAGATGCAGAAGAGTGCGCAAGAAGCCCGGAACAAGAACCGCTCCAACTTGTGCTTCGGTGACTGGTTGGCACAGCAGCATGCATGGTCCAGGGATGTTGGCAAGTGGGGTTGTAGCAAGAAAGGAAAGGCCATGCGAACGCTCGAAGATGCGCGCACATTCATTGCAAACGGAATGTAACATAGACTGTCACTAGACCGAGTTGACTTGGGGTGCTGCGCCGCTTTAAAGTTCTTTGATCCCCCAAACAGGCTTGAACAGGTCACGCAACACAAGAACTCATGATTGTGACTTGTGACATTTTGTGACGTTTTGTATCATTTTGTCGTGCACACAGAGTTCGTGGTTAAGGTGCGCTTCTTTTGATCTCTTGGGGAGCACAGTTCTGCTGTTCTTGAACAACGCTCGATACATCACAACTTGAGCCCGATGAACACATCTGTGTCCCAATGAACAACTGCTTCGACCAACCAGCTTGGCTTCACACGGTCTGCCGTGTTTTTTCATGTTTTTTCGCCGCGTCTTTCACACGCCACGTCTGAGGCGAAGAGGTTTCAAGCCCGAAGGGCGCCGGTGGAAAGGACGTGACCATGGCCGGCAAGCGCGCCAGTGCTCAGAAGCTCTCCGATGCCTCCCTGGGGCCACTGGGCTTGAGTGATGGTGGAGACGGTGTGGCACCGGTATGGCACCGGTGGGGTCCCAGGGTTGTTTGGAGAACACTTGGACATTTGGCACACACACCAAGATGTTGTTGAAGCGGATCCGAGGGTCATTCTGGTCAACCTCAGTGAAGAGGTGGATCTCAGATATCACAATTTTGCTGTGAAGGTCTACGCAGCACCTACAATTTAGAAGCAGCAAAGCCTTTTCTGACCCAAGGTGTTGTCTCAATAGAAGTACACTTCACAACGTCCACTTCGACATGAATCCCTGTTTCAATCTTCTTGGGGAAGAAAGGTGGGTCGAAAAGAAGCTCCGGGGGACAGGACAGCCCACTCGACAGCAAAGGGACGGGCGAATTCGATGAGTTGAGGGACCTCCAACCTGATAGACCACCAAGCAGCATGTTACTAGTAGCGTCCTTGTTACTACCAGTAAGGCCAGGAGCCCCTAGTAGCGTCCTTGTTACTACTAGTAAGGCACCTGTTACTAGTAGTAGCGCCCAGCCTTCATTAAAATGTTTGTGAGTCCTTCAGGATGTTCGATGCCGACCAGTCGCAGATGGCCTACCTTGACATGCAGAACACCGCAGCGGAAATGCGGAACAAGAACCGCGTGGGGCAAGGTATTTTCTGAGACGGATGGAAGAACGGAAGGAAGGGCCACTGCCTGCTGTATCCATTGCTTCTTGAATTGTCCTGGTCATCTAGAATGTATTATATATATATAGTTACTTGTTTTGAACACAGGCCTTATCAATCCGGAGTTTTTTGAACAAAGGAGTCATTCAAGTATACTTGCAGTGGCTTGCCATGGATGTTATTGTTGCAAAGATGCTCTTGCAACAACTCGGACAGGTATGGGATACAGTCTTCCTGAAGTTAACAAAACATACTGTTGATGGAGCTTTTGGTGAACACTGCTCCTATCGTATTTTTCTCAAGGAGGGCCACTTAATTTTGGATTTTTTTTGTTTCCTTTTTCGTTTTTTTTGTTTTTCGTGGCTTCTGGCTTCTGTGGCTTTTGGCTTTCCTGGCTTCTGTGGCTTCTGTGGCTTTTGGCTTTCGTGGCTTTCGTGGCTTCTGTGGCTTTTGGCTTTTGTGGCTTTTGTGGCTTTTGGCTTTTTGGCCTATCCATCTATTTGTCTATATCTATCTGTCTATATCTATCTATCTATCTATCT